ATGCATGAGGCCCTGGGTTCGATTCCTCAGCACCACATAAGCAAAAAGAAAAAAACCAGAAGTGGCGCTGTGGCTCAAGTGGTAGAGCGCTAGCTTTGAGCTGAAGAGCTAAGGGACAGCGCCCAGGCCCAGAGTTCAGGCCCCACAACTAGACACCCCCCCAAAAAAAAGACTACCCAGCTAAAGGTGTACGTGGGGCAGAGAAATAGCTGTTCTTCTCTCTATTCCCCAAACCTCTTGGAGCCTACCTGGGAACAGCCATGCATTTTCCTAATTTACACAAAGGACAGCCTCTTTGTCAAGTTGTTTAGCCATGATCAAACTGCATCTTCAATGAAGATGGGAATTCACACAGAAAGTAGAGGTGTGGTTCAAGGGATAGAACACTAACTTTGAACAAAACAGCCAAACAAGAGAGTATGAGAGCCTGGTTCAAGCCCTAGTATACACATGTATGCATGCATGCACGCACACACACACACACACACATCACTGCCATCACCACCACCACCAACACCACCACCAACACTAACAAAACAAGAACAAAAATCAACTCTGAACACTGGGAGCTACCTTAGTTATTAAAGAATCTTACAAGTGAGCCACAGAGATCTGGTTAAAGTTGTAAAACCTGTCCTGTTCTTCCTCATTTCTCTCCTTCATAGGAGATAAACCTATCTGCCTTTGTAAGCAGAGAAGTTATTGCTCTGGAAAGAAAACATGCAACAGGACTTTGAGAGGTTTGAAGATGTAAGATTTGAGATTAATTCCAGAATAGGAAGGCTGCAATAAAAAACTGTGAAAAGAGTTTATAATTTGTTCATTTTGTATTGTAATACTGAAGTCCATCTCCTCCTAGTAAGGACAAAAAAGACATTAGCACAATATGAGCTTTTATAGTTGTTATCTTCTTCCTGCTCTCATTTTCACAATTCTCTTTTAGCACTTAAAGATGTCTGTCCCCTCTCCTCCTGCCAGATATTTCACATCCCATGATAGGAGTCACTCCTAAATGTCACTTGGGGTCATAGATAACGGTATAAAAGGCATTAAGATCGTGATTCCTATGTGCCATCCCAAGTTTTCCCAGCATGCTTGATTCCTGCAGCTGCTAGCTTTACAAGGTTTCTTCATAATCTGGTTTTCTTCACCATCAGCAGATTACAGATGGTCTAGACTTTGTGTCGAGACATTCAACTGGAGCTCCCAACCCTTTCACTTTCCAGAGCATCCCTGGAGCCCTACTTAGTCATTTACACCTACTATCTTGCTTTTTATTTTATTTATTTTTTTAAACTTCAACTGGGTTGAGGCTGAAGAGAGGACAATTTTAGTCTCACTGAAAAGTATGATTTGGAACAAGGCCCTTAACGTTCTGTGTGAGTGACCTCCAATTATTTTGATTTGAGCTAAGTAACAATTATTAAATTACCTTCTCCACATGGCTTTTCAAACATTCTTTATACATTTGAAAAGAAATGGAGAAAGTCTTTATTAGTCTACGTTGAGCTTTCTGTTGAGTGTTTTTAGAAGATATTCATTGGAAAATTACAAAAACAAAACCCTTGTTGGGGGTCATTGTCTCACAACTGTGATCCCTGCTTTTTGGTAGGCTGAGATCTGAGGATTACACAGTCCAAAGCCATCCCCAAAAGAAAAGTCAGTGAGATGCTTATCTCCGATTAACTACTAAAAAGCCAAAAGTGGTGATAAGACCCAAGTAGTTGAGCACTAGTTTTGAGCAGAAAAGTTCAAGGACAGTGCTTAGGCCCTGAGCTCAAACCCCAGGCCTAGGGAAAGGAATAAAAAAGCAACCAACCAACAAAATAACCCTTGTCCAATCCTGTGGCAAGAGCATTGACTCAGACATTGTCTACTGGTACCAGCTCATTTGCCTACATTGGCATCTACTGGTGGCTCATGTCTATAAACCTAGCTACTCAGGAGGCTGGGATCAGAGCTTCACAGTTCAAAGCTAGGCAGAAAAGTCTGTGAGACTCTTTATCTCCATTTAACCACCTTTTGGTGGTTAAACCCAGAAGTGGGGGTGTGGCTTGAGTGGTAGAGTACCATCTTTGAGTGAATAAGCTAAAATAAAGGACAATTGCCTAGGCTCTTAGTTCAAGCTTCAGCATCAGCACAAAAACATTTAACTTAAAATTGCTATTTTAGTGTGTTTTGAACAGTGATATTAAAGCTTATTATAAATTGATTTTCTCATGTGCAAAAAAATACTAAAAGTACCTTCATAATTATTTGTTCAAGTGAGAATAAGTTAAATACATTACTTATTTCTCTTAAGTGGCTTTCTCATAACTCAAAGAAAGACCCCTTGCAATAGCCAGTATGTTCTGATCTCAAATATCCTCTTATATATTATAACTACCAGTCATTTAACAGTGTAGTCTAAAAGCAATTTGGCAAATTAAATTACACATGTGTGCAGGCGTTTGCATGCGTGCGCGTGCACACACACACACACACACACACACACACAGAGGCATTACAGCCATAACTATTATTATGAGGATCATTATATGATTTAAATTGCCAATAAAGACTATAAGCCTGTGATGTAATGAAATCTACGCATTTGGTAGGCCTACCTATAAAAATGAGTTTTTCTATCCAAGAAACACATGGACATGTTCTCATTGCTATATAGAACAAACCAGAAGTCTTCTCCATTTACTTCCTTTTACATATTATTTAGCCTGATCTTTTTTCTGTACGTCTAAGAAGATAGATGTTTTTAGTTAAATGTTGTTATACTGTACTACATTTTGCAATTCATGTTTTACAAAAACAAAAAAAGCATTTTGAGGCTGTTTCCCTTTACTACCCTGTCAGCATATAACATCTCACTGTTTTACCAATTCTTGCATTTAGTAAATGCAAATTGGCATCTCCAAACATACCAATTTTCTCTCTACTAAATATTCCACCAAAATGATGTTGATAAAATTAGATCACTTTCACCACAGTGCCTTGAATATAACATGTGCCCACTACAGGTATTTTTAAAAATCTGTACAGCAGGCTCTTTGATGGTGTCAG